CACTTATAGATTGTTTTTTAAAGGATTCGATTCACTGCATATTTCAGGCTATACTGATAGTCACAAAACTAAATGATTTTGTCAAAATGCAAACTTTGCTTTCTTTCTCCTGTGCCTGTTTTAAATCTACTTTTACGGAAAGATTTTCGGAGATAAGTGCCTTCTGCCTGATCCTGCCTTCGTGACTGCCTTTCAGACTCTCTGTTGTCAGGCAGGAAAGCATAATAGCGAGGAGTGCGTGCTCCAGGCCAGCCTATCCTGGTTTGAACCCAGCTCTGCTACTTCCCAGCTGTGACCTTGGGCAAATCCCCTAACCTCTCCACCTCGGTTTCTTTATCTGTAAAATGTGTATAAACGTAGCACCTTCGCTCATGGGATTATCGTGAGGATTAAATGAGTTGATACTTCTAAAATGTATAGAAAGCTGCCTGGCAAATAATAAGTGCTCTGGGCATTTGCTATTAGTATTATCTAAGAATCTGAGTTGTTGTGAATTCCTGCTGGCCCTTATTTTTAGTTGAGGGTGGGGAGAGGTGAGAAGAGACCCTGACCCTTGTCAAGAAATATGTATACACATGACCTTGCTCGTTGATTCATGCCAGTCTGAATTGTGGATATGTAGGATTGAGGAGTCTTCTACTAGAAGTCCAATTTCATTGTCAAGACAAGATGATTTTGATATTGGCAAGTATAAGCACTGACCTAGGTGGGGCTTCTCCTAGTCCTGCCCCTGCTGTTCTGTCTGCCCCAGTTCTACCAGCCCCGGGTCCATTGTGTTCCTATCCTCCGGCCTCGTCTCCTAACAGCCCTGCCAAGCTGACCCCTCCCTTCCCACCCTACCTGGTATTTCTCAACATGGATGCTTAGAGACAAATATAAAACAGTATATATTTAAAAATGCTGAACTAAATATATTTTATTTTGTCTGCCCAACACAATTATTAGCCTCCTTCAAAAAACAAAATTTCTTGAATTTCCTATGGCATTTAGCACTGAATAGTCAATACTAGTTACACCAAATTGAATATTGAGAAAAAATTCATTTTTCTTACAGGGTATTTGGGAAATTTTTTCTCAAGTGCGTAAGCATTTTTCTTATCGGACAGATGTTAATTTATTAGACAAAGCCCTCTTTAAGTGGCTAGTGCAAGGGTCACCTTCAATCATTCCTGATCCAAAGGTACAATCTAAACTAATGAAGGACAAGTCAATTAGTGACCCATAACTGAGGAATGGGTGTGGGCAGTGGTGTTCAGTGATGACAGAGGAGGGAGCACCTTCCCATCGGAAGAGTTACCATCATCCTTGACAATTTGGTCATTACAGTCATTCTGTGTTACATTTTGAACAAAGCAAGATGCCCTTTCACTTTTGAAGCCATCTCTAAAGATATTGAAAGGGGCTGCCCTTCAGAATTCTTAACGTATTGAAACCTCTAAACCTAAATTTAAATTTGAGGGAAGCAGAGATTAGTACCACGTAGCTCAGTCACAAGATACTTAGTACCCAATGTGTGACCAGAACCCAATTCTAAGTTCTTTGAGGGGCAGGAAAAAATGGTAAGACATGGTTCTTGAAGCCAACAGACTTGCTTTGGGGTGACAAGACAATGCACAAAACCCAAAAATGAAGAGTATTATGTAGTGAATGTGTAAGAGCTTGATTGTGAGGAATCTCAAAGTGAGATCAAGAGGAAAGGCTTCAGAGAAGAGGACGGACTTGAGCCGAGACTGGACTGTGGTATTTAGATGAGCTTAGAGAGAGACAGGGCAGGTTTCCTGCTGCAAGAGTTGGCCTGAGTGAACAGGAGCATGACGCTGGATGTGGATGTGGTGTGTTCATGACATGGAAGTCACTGACCTGACTGGAGGAAAGAAGCATCTTCAGATTTGTCCCAGGAGTTATGACTCTACTCCTGTGCCCTTGGCTCCCACCCTCATCCTCTCCTAACCCTTCCAGCATCTGCCAACAAGCAGGCTCTTTCAGGTTCAACACACTCCTGCAAACACCATGGGAGCCAACCCACATGGCATGTTGACACGCCATGTCAGGATCCTAAGTGTCCACTGTTGAATCTTGTTTTCCATGTCCACTTAGGGTCCAGGTCTGAGGGCCAAATCCTGCCTCACGAGGTCAACTTACTGACAGACTTTATCACTCTGCCTCAACTCTTTGCTTCTTTTTTTCTCTTCACAAACAACTCCACGCTGTTTTGTGGTTCTGCAGGTCCCCAAAGGAACTGACCAGAACTGGGCTCAGAAGCTCTATGACCGACACTCTGGCAGCCAGCACTTCCAGAAGCCCCGCATGTCCAACACGGCCTTCATTGTCGTGCACTTTGCAGACAAGGTGCGTCTCCTCTTTGTGGGCTTTGGTGCTCCATTAACCCCGCCCGAGGTAGACTCAGGATGTCTGGGTTAAGAGGGAGCTGTCCCTTTTGAATTCAAGTGGTCTGAAATCTCCATAGGTAGGGTTCCCTTCCACTCTTTCTTCCCCTCCCCACTCCATCTCTGTGGTCCAACAACCTGTTACTCCATGGCAGAACCCCACAGGGGATAGAGTTACCCAGTTATATGCTTAACAAATGTTTGTTGAGGGTCTCTTTCCTGTGATTGTAGCAACATGTAAAATAGTCATGAGTCTATTCTCCTGGACCTTGCGAGAGAAAGGAAAGGGTAAAAACGGAGTGGTCTCTTCTTTGGGGGCTTCTTTCCCAGTAACTGGTATATACGTGAAATTTTTCTACATGGATTTCTGTTCTGTGTGCACTAGCCCAGGGCTTCTCAAATTTCACTGTGCACCTAAATCACCTGGGGTCTTGTTAAAATGCAGGCTCTAATTCAGTAGGTCTGAGGTGTGGCTGACAAGGTGCATTTTCAGCACCCAGAGGAAGCCTTTCATTTGAGGGGATCCTTTTGAAAACAGTATGTTTTTCCGTAAAATGAATACTCAATTTCCTCTTTGTAAATCCTGATCACATCTTGGGTTTGCATTTTAAATAGGAACATCTGTGGGTTTCCTATCTACTCACAACTCTTTTCAGAAAACACTGGGTGGATGAGATGAAACTGCACAAGCAGCTGCTGAAGCACGAACTACTGTTTCTGTTTCCTAGGTGGAGTACCTTTCCGATGGCTTTCTGGAGAAAAACAGAGACACGGTATATGAAGAGCAGATCAACATCCTGAAGGCCAGCAAGGTAGGAGCATCAGAAGTGGGAACTAGAGCAAGAATGTCCACAGCTAGAGCAGCAACAGTGCATTTAATTTCTATTTAGCAGTCTACGGAAGCTTCCTATAAGCAAAAACGTAAAATAAATGGATTAGAAGGTAGGATTTAAGAGACACTTAAATCTACTATTTTGGAATGTTACTTTCTATTATTTCCAGAATGTATTTCCTTCTCATGAGCATAACAAAAAGATAGCAAATCGTGTGTCCGTTCTACAGGTAGAGGAAACGAGGCCCTCATTCACATACACGGATATTTATTAAGCACTTACCTTGTGAGGCACTGCCCTAAACACGCCCAGTGTCATACAAAGATAGAGAAGACAGATTCATCCCTCCAGCCGATTACATTCTAGTGAGCATGAGTAAGCAGATAAATGCACACACAGTAACTGTGCAGAGAGGAGGCATGGGAGTGGGTCATGCAGCCTTCTGCAGGGAGAAGTGTGGGTACCACCATTCCAGAAGGCTGACGCCTTGATGCAGATGCTGTTGCTGGCTTTAGCCTTTCAGAGGAAACCCAGAAAAGGGCTCTCCAGGATTTAGGAGGCTCTCTCTCAGATCACGTGATGCTGAGTTCACTGCAGGGGCCTGATAACACTAGAAATGGCAGATTAATGTCTCTTAGTGATAAGCTTTAGATGAATTTAGATGAATGCAATAGGGCGAGATGATGGCGTGGAGAAAATACACCCCACAAGATGGACCCAAGTACATAAAGGCAAGTAATCCTTATTAAGTCACGTGGCCCTCAGGCAAGGGGTTTAGGAAGGATTTGTGTCAGTACCAGTGTGTGGGCAGCCCAGGCAGACCCTGCCCAGTGTCCTCTCTGGATATCTGGAACATCAGGGAATTAGTTGTCACTGGGGCAATTTGCTTTGGGGAAATGTGGATATCATTTTGGAGTTCAGTGCAGGATTAATCTCTCAGCTTGCCAAGTTTTCAGCTCTCTAGTCCATGGTACTTAATAGGACTTTTTCCATTCTTTACAAGGGTGAAGGGGCACAGGAGAGGAGCCACAAGCCACAGGGAGAGAGTGGAAGTAGATGGTTTGAACACTAGGAGCACATTTCCTCATCAGGCATTTCTTAGAACTTAGAGGCCTGTAACCTCCTGTTAGTCTGACGCTGGCCTCAGAGGGCTGAGAAACTTTACTGTCTTGATGCAAGTTGCTTCTTTCAGGTAGAAGCACAAATAAGGGGTGAGGGAGAGAGAGTCGGGTACTTTCCATTAAATACAGAGTTTGGTTCTGACAGTGTATGGATTTTTATCTTAATTTGAGTATCTCTCAGGGATCGTAGAAGCTAAAAAGGAGTCTCTCACACTCTCTCTGGCAGAACATCTTTTATTAATAACTGAGATTTTTCCCCCCTTATTTTTATTTGACAATTTTATTGAGTATTTGTGTGATATATAGTGGTGACAAATACATATAGTTAACCTCATGGAACTTACGGTCTAGTGAAAAAGATATACAGTTTAATTACAAATTTGGATAATGCTGTGAAAGTCAAGAAGGAGCTATGGAAAAGAATAATAGGCATAAGTTGGGAGTCCTCTGGACCACCCCAGGTTCAATCAGTTGCTAAGAAGATACTCAGAACTCAACATATGGTCAAACCCATGGCTATGATTTATTACAGCAGAAGGATACAGAGCAAAATCAGCACAAGAAAAAGGTGAATGTGGGGGACACCAGGTGCAAGCTTCCTGGAGTCCTCTCCCAGTGAAGTCGCACAGAATGTGTTTAATTCCCTCAGCAGCGAGTTGTGACAATACCTGTGAGGTATCTACCAGGGCAGCTCACCTGAGCCCTGGCATTCAGGGTTTCGGTTGGGAGTCAGTTCTGCAGGCACCCTTTGCCTAGCACATGCCAGACGTCCAGACTCCCAAAAGGAGAGCAGCTGTTCAATATAAACCATGTTGTTTGCATAAACAGTTTAGGTACAGTGAGCCGTTCTTATTAGGAGGTGGTGAGAATCCTCCTGAAATCTAAATTCCCAGACACCAGCCAAGGGTCAACCTTGTAAGCAGGCCTTTCTCAGGATAGCAGTCTCAGGCCTGCTCTGTCACCTCTTTTCTGTACAGGGGGATCACTTTAGATTGAGGGTACTGCATCTACGGCCATACCACCCTGAGTGCGCCTGGTCTTGTCTGATCTCAAAAGCTCAGCTGGTTGGGGTCTGGTTAGTACTTGGATAGGAGGTTGAGGGCACTGGATTTTTGTTAGAAAAGAAGTAGTCATGTGCTACATAATGACGTTTCAGTCAATAACAGACCACCTATATGACGGTGGTCCCATAAGATTAGTACCATAGAGCCTAGGCGTGTAGTAGGCCATACCCTCTAGGTTTGTGTAAGTGCATTCTATGATGTTCGCATAATGACAGAATCGCCTAACGACGCATCTCTCAGAGTGTATCCCTGTTGTTAAGTGATGCATGACTGTTTAGGCTCATAAAAAATTTAAATAGTATAGAAATATATGAAATAAAAGTATTCTCTCCCATTCCTTGACCCACCTTTTCATGAAACCCCATTCTGCATATACAAGCATATTGGTACGTCTTTTTAAGATTGAAATGAATCACGTTATACATAGTCCTCTCTAATTTAATTTTTCACTTGCTGTTATATCTTGACCACCTTTCCACATGAATACATATCTATTTCTTTTTTTTTTTTAAACAGCAACTGCTATTTTGCTAATTCAAATAATGCTAAAATGAATGCCCTTTGCATATATCTTTGCTTACTTGCATAATTATATCTGTCAGATAAATTTTTAGAAGTGGAATTGATGGTTCAAAGAGTACGCACTTCAAAAGTTTATAGCTATTGCTAAATTGGAGCACAAAACAGGTCTGTGATCTACTCTTAAAAGGGAATCGACTCCCTCTCTTCCCTGCCCACCTGGCGCAACCCTCGCTCTCCCCTTTACCAACGAATATTTCTGAAGAACCGATGACCTTGTTGCCAACCCCCCACCACCAAAAACCCTATGAGATGCTGTGAGGGTAGCCAGCAGCACTCAGAGATGAACCAAGAGGGGCTTCTAGGCCCACTAGACCCTAGCAGGTGGAGAGCTAAGAACTCTCCACGCTGAACCCATTCAGCGTTTCAGACATCCCAGAAGATAGAAAGCAAAGATCGACACCAGGTCACTATAAACCAACAGACAGGCTCTACACAGACTGCAGCAAATCAGAGGGATTCAAAGTGTGCTTTAAATCATTTGACGGATGGACATGTGTGGCAGCATCTGTCCTTGTAGCATTTTTAAAGCTCATTGTTTACTGAACCTCTGTTGTTTTCTGTAAAATTTTTAGTTTTCACATCAGTCCTGTGAGGTTTATAACTCTGTGCTACAGTGAGGAAAATAAAGACCTAGAAAGATACAAGGCCTATGGCATGGAGGTAATGCCCAATTTTTTATTGGTTTGCATCTCACTAAGCATAGATAAATCTCAAATCTTGTATGTCAATTCATAGTTTTACTTAAAGTATTTTTATTTTATGGAAGACCTATCAGCTTTTTTCTTTTGTGTGGCACCCTGACAAGAAATGAACAAATCATTGTGAATGATAAAGCAGAATGGGATGGAAGACTCCCGTGTACCCTACCAGCCAAAGGGATGTTTGAAGAACTCCTACCAAGAGCAGTGAAATAAAATGGTGCTAATGAGAATGTAATTAGTAAAGCAAGTTACACTGCCGACGAGCTTATAATGTAGCTAATTGCTTTCTCAGCTATCAGAGTGCTATAAATAGAGACTTAAGTAAAGAAATGCCTCTTTGAAACATAACTTCAAATTATTAACAGACTGATTTGTTTTAGATACTAAAGGTGGAGGTTTATAATAAACCTCCCAGTGTTTATAATAAGTTTATTATAAATTTATCAATCTGAAGGAAAAAAATCTCAAAAGGAGAATATTTTCCTCTGAAGATGTCCCATTCCAGGACAGCACAGAGTGTAGGTCAGAGGGACGAGGAGTGGATTGAGAGTTTATGCCACTAAGTGCCAGGCAGCAGGGGCCGTTCTGGGCAGTGTTCCTAGGCAGGCAGTCCTGATACCATCTCTCCACTCCATCCCAGCAGAAGGGATCTTGAGAGCAATATGGTCCAGAGGTCAGGTAGGTCATATTGGCCCAAAGCCACCTACCCTGGGCCGTGACAATCCCTCAGGTCCAAGAGTCAATGGAGTAGCTCAGACAAGGCCCAAATGCGCTCTCTCCCCATCTCCTTTCTGCTGCTTTGGCTTGACTTGAACTTACCAAGGAATGACCATGTACATGCATCCATTGCTTTCCACACTGATTTGTCCTTACGGGTTACACACACATTCTATTTTGAGCAAATACATTTGCATTTTTAAAAATATATTATTTTTAATTTATTTTTTATATAACAGCTTTGGATATACTTGACATACTTTAAAATACTTGCTTTTAAATATATTTGGGGTGCTTCCTGTTTAAAGTCAGTTTGTGCTGGTAGTTAAAAAGCTTCTAGCAATATTTAGAATGAAGAGGTCACTATGCAAGAGAGCTTTTAGTTGATAAAACAATATCATCGTCCTTTTTGCAATACAGAAAATCCACCTTTTTCTTCTTCAAAGAAATGAAGTGCTGTGACTTTTCCTCCAAAGCCCATTTAAAATTTTTTAAACAAAATATTTCTTACCTAAAAGTTGGAGATTTTTTTCCATAGGGGAGCATTGACCATGTAAAAGAACTGATTGCAAAGAAAGTGTATTTTTTTATTATGTTTGCAGCCAGAGTTTCTAAAGATAAGATTCTAGGCAAGAGATTCCGATCAAATGGTTATTATCGCGTCTTATTTTCATCTCTTGTGTCTGTTTTAAAGGAAAGATATTTTATGTTCTTATAAACAGAAGTGAATAGGCATGATTTCCAAGGTAGCAGCTATGTAAGTAGCTATAATTGACATTTTTCTTAAACTGTCA